CATGCGACCAGTTGTACTTGCGACGAATTGTGTTGCGATCAATTGTGACTGCGACCAGTTGTCGTTGCGACCAGTTGTCGCTGCGACCAGTTGACGCTGCGATCAGTTGTTTGCGATCAATTGTCGCGCGACGAATTGTGCACGACGAATTGACGCGGTACCGGTGACCCACTGTGCTTATCTCTAAACACCAGCTCTAACATTACATAGCTTTTGGTTTTTTTGGAAAGTACATCAACTTCTTCTTTTCAACTAAGGTAAAAGACGTTTTACGCATCACAGAACTGCGCCGAAAATTGTTTGAAATTTTGCAAGAAAAATATTCTTTATACCGGGTGTCCCGGCGTACCTGTTCCACTCAAATATCTCAATTATTTTAAAACATTAAAAATTGAAATTTGGCATTTTCAATATATGTAACACAGTCTATTAAATGGATAAATTACAAAAGGGTATCATTTTTCAATACATTAAATAGTGCCTTTTTTTGTCTTTATTCTCAACAATGTATCACATAATACTATGTTATTTACTTGAATGTTTTAAAACGTCCTTAAATTACAAAAAAAAAAGAAATTTAAAATGATCATACTTAATCAAGTATTTTAATAAAATCAATGTTTAAAGCAAAATAAAAAGATAGAATAACAATAACTATAGCCATCTCATCACATTCTACACTAATTCTTTGCTTAAGGTCTTCTTAGAGGTTCCTGCTATATCCTATCCTTTAAATAGCCCCACAAAAAAAATCGCGAGGACTTAGATCTGGAGATCTTGCAGGCCACCGAATTGCTCCATTTTTGCCAATCCATCTATGAGGAAATGTATCATTGAAATAACCTGTTATTATTTGCGCGTTATGTGGTGGTGCACCATCTTGCTGGAAATATATTCTTTCTCTCACGTCGAGTAGAACATTTTCTAATAACACAGGAAGTTCGTTTACAAGAAATTCCAAATAAATTTGCGAATTTAGATTTCCTTCGTAACATTTAGGCCCGATAATTTGACTATTGATTATTTCACACCAAACGTTGATACCCCAAATGTGTTGAAAATTAGTTTCTCTTAGTCAGTGAGGATTTTCTGAAGCCCAGTAATGGCAATTACGTCGATTCATTTCCATTATTATTAAAACGAGTTTCATCTGACCAAAAAATATTACTTTATGATAGTCTATTTCACGTGCCTCCGTTAGCCAAGCAATAAAAGCCAATCTTCTTTCAAAATCTGTAAATGAATTTTGTACTCATGATATTTGGCCGTTATTAAAATTCTTCTTAGATGATTTTGAAATATTCGTTTCTTCGCGTATTTGCCTGATGGAAATTTGAGGATCCACATTTAGTCCCCCCGACACCTACGGTCTGTTCCTTTATCTGTAAAAAGATTGTGCGTTTCTTTTTGAAACACCCAATTTGTTCTAAATTTTTTGCTAATCTTCCGAAATAACTACATACAACTTAGCTGTTGTCTCTGCAGAAATCTTTCTTCGTATAATGTTCTGAATTGTATTCCATTTCACTTACACTCTCCGTAAATAAGTATCATATATCATTACAAACGTAATGATCTCTTTTATAGTACTACAAACTGTACTGTTTTTAAATTTAGAAAAAAGTTGATGTCATTTCCGGTGAAACTGAAGCTAGTACGATGCCAATAGCATACTCATTTAATAGATTGTATTACATAATATATTAAACATGCCTCAGTTAACATTTTTGTTTTAAAATAACTGAGATATTTGAGTGGAACAGGTACTCTGGGAGCCACGGTCAATATATGTACTTAATTATAAAGTGTGCTAGAAATTGTGCAGACGTTCAAAACATGAGCATTTGTTTACGTTTTGATCGTCTGCGCAATTTTTTGCGCACTTTACCATCAAAATGTGGAATATTTTTCTTGCAAAATTTCTAGCATCAATTTTGGTAGAAATTTTCGGAATAATCTGTAACGTGTAAACGATTCATACTCGTATGTTTTTAAGTGTGTCATTTTTTTTTCAGTAGTATAACACCTCTTATGTAACTCATTTGATTTAATGTTTAACACAATTTTCCAATGACGGCCTCCTTATTTACCTATTTCTATATATTTATATGTACCTATTACCTATTATAATATCTCAAATATATATTTGAAAAATTGAAGAAACGATAAATTTTTACAAAAAAATCAATACACTGATGCTTAACACTATATCTTGTTTGTTTCGCCTCAAATAATACCAATTTTTATTTCAAATGAAAATGGTATCTTTTTTTCCTAAAACATCAAATTTTTACTTCCCGAGCGTCAGCGAAGGAACTATTGCAATCGAGTCCGTTGCCCGACTCTCTACTTTTACATTTTCTCGACCTTTCATGACCCCTAGAGTACAAAGAAATAGGTCTCCCGTTTCCGTCTGTCCGTCTGTCTGCCTGCCTGCCTGCCTGCCGTTCCGGACTTTTATTAGACAGATAATCTCCGAAAGTACTAGGCCGATTGTCGTCAAATTATGTTTTTATATTAGAAATATCACGTAGATAACGCTAACCAAAATTTTTCAAATCATCTCCACCAAGATGTGATGACGTCACTTCAAAATTATACCTAGTAAATGGGTTTTAAATTGTATAAAATAACATAGCCCTACACATGTAGTTTATGACTCCATGTTGACATTTTGCAATTTAATTTCGCAAACCGAATGTTTTGAAATCTTACAGATGTTTTAAGGTTGCGATAGGTATGATAAATTTTTAATCAAAATATATTGCCCTCCAAAAAATCGACGTTTGTTCAAAATTTTACCGAATAAATCCTATCTAAAATGTAGAAAATGTGATGAGTCTTGTGATTTATCATTCCATTCATACTTTTTGGATTTGATTATACAGGTGATTCAAAAAAATTAATGAATGCGTGAATTTATTTTATTTATTTAATCAGGAACTACACAACCGAATGCTTCGAAATCTTAGAGATATTCTAAAGTAATCATAAGCATGGTAAATTTTTTATCGAAATGTATTTGCTCATCCCCTCTAAAAAATTGATGACATCACCTCAAAATTTTGCTAAAGAAATCCTATCTTAAATGTGCAAAGTATGATGAGTCTATACTTGTGATTTATCTCTGCATTAATATTTTTTAGATTTGCTTATACAGGGTGACTCAAAAAAAATCAGTCGATTAATTTTACTGAATAAATCAAGAATGGACCTTTACAGCGAATTTTTTTTTTTTAATTATTTTTAAAAAGTACAACAATAAATAACTCTACTGTCATAATTAATTTTTATAATTTTCAATTGGGTGCCATAAAAAAAAATAATGAAATATTGATAATTTTAAACTTTCCGCCTACATGATGTCAGCAGCCCAAAACTCGCCTGCCACGTGATAAATCGTGGATCTTCGTTACTTTCCGCCATTTTTTTGCAACATTTTTTGTAACCTGGAAGTTTAGGTAATCTCATCTACCAATATGGTTATATATCGTATAGTACTTACGACATTGTGTAATAATAAAGTAAATGAAGACTGATGTGATTACACCACTCAAACATGAAGGTAAAGTGAGGTTATGGGTGTTTTTAAAAAGTCGCCTAGAGGCCGACAACACGTTTTACACGAAAATTTTCAGGTGATTACGAAAAAAGTGGGTGTGGTTCGTAGCCAATGAGAAAGGGAAGGTCCGTGACGTCAGCATTAAAATTGTATTCGAATTTTTATGGTTTGTTTTAATGATTACGGAAAAACAGAGAGGTTTTACCTAATAATTGAACTTTCTAATAACACATTTTATTGTTAAAAAGTGATAAAACTTATTTAAACAGTAATTCTGAATGTACTGTAAAGGTCCATTGCAAAACTAAATGCTTTGAAATCTTGCAGACGTTTTAAAGTCATTGTAAGCATGGTAAATTGTTAATCAAAATAAATCTGTTTTTCTCCCCAAAAAATTGATGACGGTATCTCAAAATTTTGACGAATAAATTGTGCAAAATATGATGAGTTTTTACTTGTGATCCATCATTGCATTCATATTTTTTATTGATCAAATTAAGAACAAGTCCTTCATTTTCCTATTCGCAAAATCAAATCTTTTAATCTTTCAAAAGAGCTGGATTTGACAAGCTGTACTTTATGGGGAAGTTCTATCGAAATAATCTTCGACCAATTTTTTTATACGTAATTTTCTTGCCGTTTCTCCTTTTCTTATATTCTTGACATATGACAATTTTGTTAAAAATGTTTGCTTCTAGAAAAAAAAATGTATTTGAGTATAAAACTAACGAATTTGTGTCCTAGTACCTACAAATTTACCAACTTTATCTTTGGAAAAGTTTCTCTCACTTACGATTTCTCATTTTATGCTTATGAAAACAACTTTTATTTTTTAAATCCTTAAGGTAACACCAAATTTAATACTATATGTTATACAACAGTTTTGTGATAAAAAAAACGTTCAACGATAGTTCAATAATTATAATTCTAAAGAAAATTTTAAGTTCGCAATGAATCGAAAATTTCGTTAGACAACCTACTCTAGGTAGACTGAATAAGCTATATTTTTAAAAACTTTTTATTAATGATTTAACATCTTCATATGTATTTTCTTTACCAATTTGTTTTTCAAACTCAGCAGATCGACCAATTTACACAAAGTTATTAATTTTGGCGTGTATTCTTCTCATTAAACCTTTTTTTTTACTTGTGGGCCTTTTTTTAATGTTCAAATTAAAACATTAGTTTACCGGTAGGTTTAAAGGTATACATAAATTAACTGTAAATAAAATGTGCCCAGTGTTTCATGTTCCTTCTTAGAGCATTCAATCAAATAAAGCAACTGGGACACCTCTGTAAAGCTCTATTCAAATAGAAAAAAAGATATTAGATGTAAGGGTTTCTTTTTATAAATAGGTTTGAATATCTTTGCTTTTTTATATAAAAAAATGACAGTTCCTGACAAGAAATCTTATGTAATTTTGTGTATTTGTTACAGAACGCCGAAAGAAAATTGGAGGGCCACTCTGCAGACTATAGCGAGAGTGAGCAGTCGGATTCTGACAGTTCCTCCGATGACGACAACATCGACGGTCCTTGCAGAATCCCTGATTCTTCGGACGACGAGGAGGAGCAACCAGCGCGCAGTCGTAAACACGACTACCAAAACATCAGCCAACTAGAATGGGACCATTCTACCATGTAAAAATTCCAACAACAAGTAAACAACTCAAAAAAAGTAACAACATAAAAAACAGCAGGGCTGAGAGGCGTTCTTCAACGTCGTGTTTACAACATTTGTAAATTTCTCTTCGGTGGTTTTAGCGCGGTAAAAAAATAATACGTAAAGGTTTGAGCCAAAACAGCAAAGCCTTTTCGTAAAATACTATAATTTCGCTGGGCGGTCGTAAAACTGCCGCCACAGGGGGTTTTACGAACGCGTCGCGATTGATATCAATAATAATCGTCCATAATGTTAGAGTTATACAAGTTGTATATCCCTTTCACTTAGCTATTAGTAAGGAAGAGAGGTCGGGATGCGTCGACATCTCCGAAAGGCAACAAGCGATGTGTGTCAAAGCGGGCCGCTTTGGAGATGTTGGCGACACCCTGTATATAATAGATAGCTATTTCCTTCACCCTTTCGCTTGGAACGCCTGTTTGTTTTCGGTTATTTAAGGGCAGCCATATTATTTTTAACTCGTAATAAGGTAAGTTTACGTTAAGTTTTTACTATACATGTATTAGGGAAAGTCTTTCCTTCTATTTGAGAAGCTTCGACAATAATTAAGCTTGTTTCAGTTTTTTATTACTCAGTAGAGGTGGCAGCCGCGTTTTCTAAACCGAAAGACTTTCCTTGGATGGTTTTTTTATTAAATTATTGAGTCGTTTCGTTTATTCATTTTTTTATTTAGCCTAACTTTAGGGCCTATGTTTATCGAGTATTTTTCTTTATTAACCAGACGCTTAATTTTGTACTTAGTACTTTTAACTCACTTGTCCCGGACTATTCCTCGTATTGTCATATCAAATTTTTACACTGTCGCTGGTTCTCGAATTAATTTTAACGCAAGATTTTTTATTTTCAATTGATGTTTGTGGACTCTCTCGCACAAGTTTCATGTCTCTAAAATAGTGGATAATTGAGGTAAAAAAAAATACAAAAAGGTGTACATAAAGTTTTGCAGCTAAATAGTATTTTTTTGTATCGTAGATGATGGGTACTTAAATAACGAATAAAAATGGTTTATTTGTTACAAAAACGCGATATAAAAATGCAATAGTAGGTATGTATAAAAAGAGAACAAATCTATATCATATTTGCAATATGTAAGTGTTCTATTGTTTTTCGTCGCCATTTTGTTTATACCTGTTGGCATATTAGAATAGTAGCTGTGATGTTGATGAAAAAAAAGAGGATGTTTTAGTAAAAAAGCACTTTATTACTCATTATGTTCCGTTTTTTTAGTACACAGTGTTCGACTGTTGAAACTGTGCGATTTTCTCGAATTTTTATTAAAACAAAAAAGTTGTATATTTGAAATATGTAGAAAGTGTAATTATTATAAGTAGGAGGTGTGGTGAAAGTCGCTTATTTTCATTCGGTCGAACTCTGTCAGATGAGTATTTAAAAAAAAGTAATAACACTATTTTTGACAAGTACGTAACAAAGACGTTACATTCCATGCATATATTTGTAATCTTTGTATCTTTAACAGTTACGAGCTTTGTTGTGTGTTTACAAATCAGAAATCAAATAATCCGAATATCTTTAGGTGTCATACCACAATAATTATGTAATACATAAATGTATAATAAATAACAAATATATCTGAGGCTTTTTTCAAAGACCCAAAAATAAGGCACGAAATTAACTACTTCAGTCAGTTTATTTCAACAGCCAGTAGAAATTTTATGTAACACATCAAAACATCCAGTCCCGGTCATACACGGCTTGCCTACCATTAAACAACTCGAAGGATTCGTCAAATTATCCCTCTTACCACCAACAGTCGCATTTTTCAGGAAAGTAAGTGACGATTCAAAGGACATCTGCTGCAGAGGTGAAGCGCTACTTTCCATACCCTTCCTACTCAAAGGCTCGAAAGTCCCATTGAAAGTCATATAATCCGCAATCAACGATAGATGTCGTGGATCGACTTTAATTCCATACACGTTAAACACATCCTTGACTTCTCTAACTATGATCTTCATGGCGGCCTCAATTCCATACGTTTCTGCCATCCTGTGAATATCGTTACAATACAGTTTCCGTAAATCGAGAAGGTTGTGATATTTTGACATTTCCTGCAAAAAACCGATGACGTAAAATCACGTGACCATTTACACCAATCATTTACCAAAATATTAATGCCGTCAGTCCGCAACATCAGTCTGTCGTCTTTCATGTAAGTGATAGCCCTCTTGATGTGAGGGGTCTCCCAAATCACTGACTTGGCAGCGACATCTTTCAAAATCGCTGTCAAGTCAAGTTTTTTGTTGTTGAGAGGAAGCTAGAAGTAATTATTATTATTACCGCTATAGTAAACTTAATTTGGAAATATTACCCCAAATGTTAGCACACACCACAAATGTTTTTCTTTATCGTAAATGTAATTCTGAGCAAAGTTGTAGCTATCTACCACTGAATTGTCTTGACCTTCGTTTTCTTCTCTCGTTGTGTCTTCCGCTTCGTAGCTGTCTTCATTATCAGAGACTTCTTTTTCTTCTTCCTCTGGTTCTTGGTCTTCGCGTACTTGCTTGAATTTGTTTCCGGTTTTTGCGTCTTCTACATCTTCGGGTTCTTCCTCTGAGCTATCTTCGTTAGGATTTCCGGGGTTGTCTTCATTATCTTCATCTTCGTCTCCGTTTCGCGCCTTTGAACGTTTTCCTTCGTCCATCATGACCCTGTCATAATTTATTTATAAATTAATAATAATAATAATAAAACAAAAACTTACAAATTCGATGTGATTTTTGTCGACTTCCTGATCGCGGCAAACATCTCCCCAAAAAATTTCTTCGTTATATGCTTCAAAATATACTTGGGCCCCACGCAATACTCATTCTTATACAATTTCCTAGGTAGAAATTGGAACTTCAGAGTATACTGGTGTTGCCTGACTGGCGATACCATCAACTCAACGGTAACATCCACCTTTTCCAAAACATCCGCAACCACCACCCTCGTCAACCTCCTCCTCAAGTCTTCGGCACTCTTCTCCAATCCCTCAACTGGAAGAAACGGGATTTCCATAGACGGCGTTTTGATATTCTTCGACGCCATCATCAAGATCTCCCGCAAACGCGGGATACCCAAAGTCACGTTCATCTCTCCTCTTCCAGCGAAGTGGAAAGTGTTCAATGTCATCTGCGTTGAAGGTTCACCGATGGACTGTGCCGCGAGTAACCCCACTGGTTCGCCTGCCGAACACAGCGCCCTCTGCGCCTTCAGTTTCAGGACGTTCTTAAACTGCTTCAGCTGCTTTTTGCTCGCGCATTGATAACTGTTCATCAGATCTTCCATCTTTTCATTCAGGGAACCAAAATGGTGGTCGGACTGGTAAAGAGAGTTGACTGGGTCTGGACATGGTTCGCACTGCTGCCGAAAACTGTTCTTCACGTCTTCGTCGGCTTTCTTCCAGACTTTCATTATCTGTTTGGAACCGAAAGTTTTGTCTTTGACTTTGTCTCCTACTACGATCGAGAACTGCGAAAACGGACTGCGGCGGTCCTTTTGGAGGGGGTCACCGAAAGTATCGCGCCAATCGGAAATCTGTAAAGGGGTCATGTGACCATGTCGCGACCAATGAAAAAGTACTTACGCGTTTCTTGTGGGCTTTGACGGCTTTGTCGTTGTCGTGTTTCAACATTTTGAGGAGAGATTTGTCTACCAATGCTTTGCTGTTGTCGGCCAGAAAACCCAATTGTTTTTCGTTGAGGAACTGTACTTTTGATATGTCCATGCCATCTTCACCATACAAAAACTAGTTCAAGGTTAATACACAAATAATGGAAACAAGGCGAGGACAATATAAAACTCGTTTTATGTATTCAAAGTACGCTATTTTGGTCAGATTATATTGTCCTGTGACTTAGTTGATGTTAAAATTACCCATGACGTATTGTTAATTACCTGGATGACACTCTTGTCACTGTCTCGAACCGTCATATCATACCCAACTGATAAACCCTCTAGATGTTTGATTAGACATCGTTGCAAATATCCACTACGGCTGGTTTTGACAGCCGTATCGATCAAACCCTCACGACCTGCCATACAATGGAAGAAAAATTCTTGTGGTTGAATGCCTGTCATAAATCGACCATCGATGAAACCACCAGCTCGTGGGGCGAACTCGAATATCGGAAAACTAGGGAGAGATTTTCCACTAATCATTATAGGGGGACGTTTCCCTTCCAACTCGATCTGACCCAAAAGGCACGAAATTTGCATAGTATTCACGGTCGTACCTTTTGCACCCGATTGTACCATCAACTGAAGGTTATTTTGGGGGAATTTACAAACCAAACCAGCTGGCAGACATGTCCTAAACAAAAAACAAATAATAATCTTTATACGAAGAGAGCACAAAAACACCTACTTGTTAATATCATTGGTGTACGAATCCAGCGCCACCTTGTACTGCCTATCCACACTAGCTCTAAACTTCGGATTCTTCACACTATTCTCCCTAATCTTGTCAACAATGTCTTCCGTTGGACTATCTTGTGGCAAATCCAAAACCGTAGTCACCACTTCCACACCGATTTTCCTCGCGCTCTTAATAATCTCCTGACGTTTCGTATCAGCTTTCTGCACCGTCAGGATATCGTGCACGCCCAACGTAAACCCCTCCCTCTGCAGAAACCTCGTGAACAACTTAGCCAATGCGCTTAATAGTCTCGTCGCAAACACCGCCCCGTACAACTCATACACACAATGAATCAGCCCATAGGGGGTGGCTCCATAATGCGTCTTATCCAACACGCCCACTAACAACTCCCCGCCTCGAATCACCACTTCCGCTTCGCTCATCGTGTTGGAGTCGGTGAACGGAGTACCGCCTGCCTTCCACCGTCGCGGAGGGGAGGTAAGCCACGCCTACAAGTCACAATTAGCTGCGAGTCTCCATCTACTGATTAACTTACTTTCGCGCCGATTTTCGCCGTCGCCGATAGGTTAATTGGTTCACGCCCTTCTGGAATTATGTTTATGATGACAGTTGAGAGAATTTGTTTCCCGGACCAAAGGGGGCAGGGTTTAAGAATGGCAGGAGGGAGGAGGGAGATTTTGCCGGTTTTAGTAGAGAGGGCTTGGAAGACGAACTGATGGTAGTCGCTTTCGTTGAAAAATCGTCCTCGGAGTGAGAGTTTCACCCCAGCAATCATGTGATCTTGAATGAGGCCGCTGAGAGGGGTGCCGTCTTTGGGGACGAGGTATTGGTTGCAGACGTTGACTGAAATAGATATTAGTTTCTACGATCTCAATTTTTTTGACATATAAATTAAAAGTACCTAAACTGTAGGCTTCACTCCTCGCCACCTCGTTCTGCGGGAAGTGCGCATTCATCTCGTCTCCATCAAAATCCGCATTGTACGCCTTACAATTCGCATAATGCAACCTGAAAGTCTTCTCCCCTTTCAAGACCCTCGCCGTATGCGCCATGATACTCGGTCGATGCAACGTGGGCTGCCGATTCAACAAAAGAACATCGCCGTTGCACAAATGCCTGTGCACCCTCTTCACCCCTCTAAATCCCGAAATCTTATCCGGAGTCAACAGTCGTTTCAAAATAGCCTCCTGGTACGTCGTGTTCTTTGGGTCGATTCGCTTAATGGTACCATCTTCGTACTCTACCAGCACGGCTCCCGGATGCACGTCTGGCCCGTTCATGATCATTTTCCTCAGTTCTTCGACATTCCACGACGTCACGGGAACTGGATATGTCAAGTGTTTGGCGAAAGCTTCAGGAATGCCGATTTCGTCGATGTTGAGGTTAGGATCGGGGGTTATAACTGTACGCGCGGAGAAATTCACACGTTTGCCCATCATGTGCATGCGAATGATGCCGCATTTTTTCTCGATGACTTGCTTGAGGCCGTTGCCTCCGGGGGTGCCTCTGAGGTTAGTACTGTCGACGAGGGCGTCCACGTCGTATTGTAGGGCTTCCCAGGCATGGTTGAGTTTTTCGATTGGGGTTGCGCCTTGGGCTACACTGTAGACGCCCTTGGCTTCTGATGGTAAAGAGCTGATGTCGCCTTTGTTCTTGACGGCTTGGATGACCAGTTTTAGTAGGATTGTGTTGTGGATGATTGATTTGTAGAGGGCTGATTGAGGATGTTCGTTCATTCGATTGTTGATAATGTTGACCTAAAAAGAAGTTTATGGAAATAGAAACAATTTTTCTTGGACTCCCTTATACGAGGGCCACTAGATATTGTTACGTTGTTCAGTAATTAAAATCGGCGTGGGTAAAACCCAACAATTTATTTTTCAGTAGTACAGTAGAACTCTGTTATAACGTCCTTCACATAAAACGAACTCCTGCTTTTAACGAACGGATTTTTTGGTCCCGTCTAAATGCCCATATAAACAATGCATTTTTTAATCGCATACAACGAACACCGGTTTTAACGAACAACTGTTTATAACGTACGAAAATCTATAACCATACTGCTTATAACGAACTGTTGAACATAAGATCGGCTTTAAACTTCCTAGAAACAATTCCAGACGGAACACAACAACATCCGGAATGTAGCAGTCAGTTGTGTTTTAACTTCGTTAAGACAATGACGCTTAATAACAGAAAAAAACTTTCGTTAACTTTGTCTACAAAATTAGATATACATAATCGAAAAACCAGAAAGAGGTGCCTTTAATGTTGACCTCTGCAAAGAATTTCACCTATCCAAATCCACTGTGTGAACAATATGGGGACAACGAGAAAAGATCCGATCTGCAAACTCTAGTAAGAATTTGAAAAAACTTAAGCGGCTTTGTGATCCGGTGAGGAAAGACATAGATGGTGCTCTTCTAAAATAGTTTAGCCAGCAAAGAGCTTATAATGTTCCAGTAAGTGGAGAAGTTCTTCGGCAGAAAGCAGAAGACCTTGCAAAAGTAGCTGACAATTCACTAGGTGAGAAGATTTTCAGAAAGGACTACAGTTGTTACAAATAGGATGTAAAAAACACTACTTATGAGAGTTAAGCATAGCAGACTTTTTCAAAAAATAAAATTACATATTTAAATCTTTTTTTGTGCTGAACAATCTAGTTTATTACATCTTTTTTAAAGTTAGTGTTCAATACCATATAAAACACAAATTTCTTTGGTTATACTTTTAGTACGTACAATCGTTTATTACGAACACGAATTGCTGTCCGTAGGTCGTTCGTTATATCAGAGTTTTACTGTACTAATTTACACAAGTAAACTATACAGCGATTATGTACGCAATAATTCCGACTCGACCTTTTGTGGATTTAACTAGATCCAAATTCTCTCAACATTGACTGGACTCTACTCGTTGACTGAATGACTCGAACCCGAAGGTGGGCTCTATTTAAACCCATACTTCCTTTCTAGATATTTCGCGAAACAATGTAATTTCACGCGCGAACATTGCGACGCATTTAATTGGGGGATTGCTCGGGGTATATTTGTTGCCGCTCTTTAGTTATGATATTTATGTATTCTACGATTTGAATTTTGGAATGTTTATTCTCGGATATTCCTCTCACAGCGAAGTGTGTACCAAGCGACATTCTTGGGATTTCGACCATATTTCACATGTGTTTTTTTATTTATGTGACGGAGAATTCAATTCACGTCTTGATTCATTAATTTTGCTTTATTGAATTCGGGTGGCGGCGCCGGAACTCAGTCCAAGTCGAGATTGATAATCTTTCCTTTCATTCATATGATTCGCAATACCATAGTGGAAGGATGTCCCACTGGTAGAGGACGTCTTTTAAATTGTTGAATTAAGTCCTTCGACAAACTGTGTTCATGTGATCGAAATTTTTAATCTTGCATTTGAAAAAAACGAGGAGATTGTACAACTGAGAAAATACAGCCTTTTAAAAGAACTTAATACAATTATTCCCGTCGTAATTTGTTGTCGTTAATTCAAAGTCACCTTTCCACCTCTGCGGTTCACCACTTTGCATTAGAACGCATTCCGCCATTTTAAAACACAACGTAGGATTCCATTTTGTCGACGATCACAGTTCATGGACACTTTTCAAATTTTTCGCGGGTTTTCGAATTTCGTGCGCATCTCAATGTTCATTGAGAGTGCATTGCCAGACAGAAGTGGAATACTAAAGATTACAGTATTCCACTGATGGTTCCAAAAACTCTGCATCATTATTGTTAAGTAAATGAATGTACCAAATTTTATTAAAAATCACAGTATATTATTATTATTATTATATTATACCTAGAAATTTTGAAAATATTGGAAAAGGTTGAATTTCAAAATTCTAGTATAAATGGAGACTGATAATTTTAGAAATTTTGAAAAAGGTGGAAATTGTGGTCTTTTTGTGTACTTCGAAAAATCTGAAAAATGGAGTGAGCCGTTCCTGACGTAATCAATCAAATAAATTGCACATCCATTAATTTTTTTGAGCCACTTGTACAAGAAAATCTAAAAAATATGAATGCAATGATAACTCACAAGTAAAAACTCATGATATTTTGTATATTTCGGGTAGATTTAAGAATTTAACTCGTTACTATGGAAATTCATAATATGGCACCTCTAAATTTCACAAGTTTTTACAAAATTAATAGAGGCAAAACCAGTTTTATCTTAACAAGTACTTGGCCCGCCCACCTGCCCCCTATTTTCTCAGAAGATATGTCATTTGCCGAAATAAGTCTTGTCTTAGCAAGTACTAGCCCCACCCACCCACCCTCTATTTTCTTGAAAGGTATGTGGTCCGCCAAAATTAGTCTTATCTTAGCAAGTACTAGCCCCACCCACCCTCCCTCTTATTTCTTGGAAGGTATGTGATTTGCCAAAATCAGTCTCATCTTAGCAAGTACTAGCCCCACCCACCGACCCTCTATTTTCTTGGAAAGTATGTGATTTGCCAAAAGCAGTCTTATCTTAGCAAATACTAGGTATAGTAACCAGCGACAGAGTATTCAAGAGATCTAGACTTATAATCAACTTGATTTTTTATTCCAAAACATAAGAAGTCTTTAAAAAGACTGATTTACAGAAAATATCGAATAAAACATTAAAACAAAACACGAAAAATTGGTCGAAAGTTGTTTCGACTGAACTTCCCTCGCTCCTGACGTACAATGAAACATATACAGAATTTTCAAATTGTGTTCTTTCTTTACACAATTTTGTGATGACGTCATCAACATTTTTGCAATGACACGTACATCAATTTTTTAGGAAATACATTTTGATCAAAAATTTACCAAGCCTATCACAACTTTAAAACATCTTCGAGATTTCAAAGCATTCGATTTTGTAGTTCCTGATTAAATCAATAAAATAAATTCACTCATTTATTAATTTTTTCAGTCACCCTGTATATGCAAATCCAAAAAGTATTAATGGAATGATGAATCACAAGTACAGACTCATCATATTTTGTACATTTCAGATAGGATTTATTCAGCAAAATTTTGGGGTGACGTCATCAATTTTTTGGAGGGGATAAGTTTGATTAAAAATTTATGATGCTTACCATAACTGTAAACCATCTGATTTCAGAGCATTCGGTTTTGCAGATTCAAAATTAAATTGAAAAATGTTGTTTCATAAATTTGATTTTTTTCCAAAAATCTGGACGTTTCGGGGAAAACTCAATTCGGTATCATAAACTACATGTGTAGTTTTGTTATAACTTTTTTTGTATTAATAATTGTTATTTTATACAATTTAAAACCCATGTACTATGTATAATTTTGAAGTGACGTCATCGTATTAGTGGTGGGAATGATTAGACAAATTTTGGTTAGCGTTTTACTATGTTCTCTGGTTTTACCATCTACATGATATTCCTAATATAAGGACAAAATTTCACAAGAATCGGTCCAGTACTTTCGGAGATTATCTGTCTAATAAAAATCCGAGACGGCAGACAGACGGAAACAGGAGACCTATTTCTTCGTCCTCTAGGGGTCACGAACGGTCGAGAAAACGTAAAAGTAGAAAGTCGGCCGACGGACTCCATTACAATACTTCCTTTACTTACGCTCGGGAAGTAAAAATTAAAGGAAATTGAAACCAAGTACGACGATACGACGGCACAAATAAGAGTGAAAGCTCAAGTTCAGAAAGTCAACATTTGGGTTTTAAAAGAACACGCATTTTTACAACTCCATCTGTTCAGTAAACGAACTATATGAAACGGGAAAACTTGACAAAAAATCTGTTTTTAAATGTATCAGTTTTTGATGACTTTGGGGCTGAAGCGTTTGTTTTATAGAGTTGGTTAAATAAATAAAAAGAAAACTAACGAAGTACCTAAATAAAACTGCTCTAAAAATAATTCAATTATTATTATACAACGTATGGAAACGGGATAGAAAATTTCAATCAACATATTATAGTAAATTGTGAAATAATGCTTACTCATTGAAGATAGAAAACTGATCTTTCAAATAATACTTCAACATTGCAAAAAAATTTAAAATCTCTGTGTACAAATTATTACTAATAAATATTACAAGTAAAAATTAACAATTCGTCAATAATAACAATTTTTTTTGGGTCATTCTGTATAAACAATTCTAGATACGGTGTTACTCACAACAACCATACACATCGAAATATTAAAGAAATTCGTAGATTGTTAACGGCTCCTCTGCTAACGAGAACCCGATTTGGCATTGATATAATCGCATTATTCTAAGAAACCATCAACTCAGAACAGCGAAGACGGCCGACGGTCACAGTTTACGGTTATTTCTCCTTGTTTGCTAACTTGCCTAATTTTTTGAATGCAAAAAAATATTTTCTTCATACAAAAAAATGGTTCAAGATTATTACACCCCCTGAAGTATAATCTAACAAATTTAGCTTCTTTGAAAACTTATAAAATTATGGAATATGGTATTTTATAAAATTATATAAGCACAATTTTGAGATGACATCATAAAATTGTTGGTGGGGATAATTAGACAAATTTTGGTTAGAGTTTTATCATCTATACAATATTCCTAACATGCGTAGAAAATACCAGACAATCCGTCTAGCAGTTTCGGAAAATATCTTCTAATAAAAATCGACACAATCAACCCACGGACGAAAACGCGGACCTACTTTTTCATACTTTACAGGTCATGAAACGTCGAAAAACATGAAAGCACTCATTCGCCAGATGGTCCCCGAAATTAGTCATTTGAAAAGTATATACAAACTTCCCAATTTCTTTGAATTGTCATATCATAAATAAACGAAATTATAAACTAGACTATATTATTACATGTATTATTAAACTCACCGGTCTCATATTTGGCGGAACGACTGGAATTACATCCCAGAAAAAGACATCTGTGGGATGCTCATCTCTAACTCCCCCTAAAACTGCGATAATTTCTCTCATCAAATCTTTTTCCTGTTCCCATAGTTTTCTCAAGTAAGTTCTAGATTCATCAGGGGTGATATATTTGGATTCAAAAGCTCGAACTTTAGAAGCCATCATTTCACTGCGATCTCCTCTTTTTCGATTGGTCATTATAATTCTATTTCTCACTACTTGAATCCTATCCATTGAACTTTTACAATGCATACAAACTTGACTTGCCTTAATTTCACGCAACATTCCATTGATGAACTGATTTCTCAAAGTCTCTGTATTTTTCGAAAGGACATAATTCCCTTCAAGTGTCTCTAGAGATTTGTTTGCCATTTCTTCATACTTACGAAGAGGTACGACAGCCTCTTCAGGAATATTCTCCAACGACTCGTAATGTGAAATTAACTCGGAAATAGTATTAGCGATTTCTAAAGCCTCAGTAATGTAACCACAATTCAACAATTTAATTTGTAGTGTAAGGGAATATTTCATATGTTCAGGTATTTGAAACCGGAAACAACTGAGGCAACTCATTCGAATAATAACGCCCATTATTTTGTAAAAAATCGGATTCACGACTGGAAGGGGCAATTCTATGTATCCAAAGTGACCTGGACACATGTGATAGTTTTTCCGACATGTTCCACAAGGCTCACTTTTTTCAGTAAGAGGACCTTAAAGTTCTTTAATTAGTTCGTGCACATTTGAAAGCACACCGATACTCACCTAAATGTTTATCGTACAGCCCCCCTGGTAGAGGGTACCCCAAAGCATCGAGAGTCAAGGGAGTAGAAATTTTGGTCACAGCCAATTTTTTAATATCTTCTTTTGTAAACATAGAGAACACCACAGAGTCCAAAGCAACGTGTTTGGGGGTGGTATCATTTTTTCGTACGTTCTTGAACATATTCGGGACACGTTTCTAACATGCGTATAACCTCAAAAATGTATCAACAGTGACACGTGTTATAGAAATAACTAATAATAACTAATTAAAGCAAATGTTGTCACACATCTCACTAATACAATATAAAATTGCTTGTAAATAATTGCCACTATAAATTAACAACACTGCTGACTGTTGCGAGGTTATGGATACACATGGTATGCAATGTTGCCAACCAACTAACTGTCAGTTTTGTACTTTTGACATGTAAAAACACTAGTGACCGTAAGCGCTGATTATAACCTAAAATTTCAAATTATAAAAGACTACATTTTATTAAGTTGAAATTACTCTAAGAATGCAGTATTTACGTCACTGTAATAAATTTACAAGTCGAGGGCTCTCCACACAAGTGGCTAATGCAGACCTCAACATCACAGATTTTGTAAATAGAAATCCTAGAAACTTGGAACGAATGAGGATAGGCTATAAACCAGACGGCTACCATGTAGAAAAGCCAGGAAAATGTTTCTGGCACAAATTGAATTTGTCACAAAGTGGTCGTTATGTATATGCAACCATTGAACACTTCGAAAATGGTACAGTATTACAAGCTAGTACAAAAGAGTGGGCGTTAAAAAAACAGTTATACAAGTGCATTGATTCCTCAGCATATTATAATTTAGGAAGAGTATGTATAACAACTATATCGTAAAATTTATTAAGAGTACTTTGCAGGTATTAGCTGAACGTTGCCTAAAGTCAGGTTTAATTGAAGTCTACTCTAACATAACACCTCCAAAACCTGATGGGAAAGTCGCCAAGTTTCTGGAAGCGTTACAAAAAGGGGGCGTTAATTTGCAAGAACCGCCTCAGTTTAAGCCTCCACGACCGTGGGATCAATACAGACATGAAAAACCATGGGAAGTTACTGAATAACTACTTTATTTAAATAAATATTAACATAGATTACTGTTCATAGTTGTGTTTAATGTGTTTCCATAATTTCTGGAAAAAGGAAATGGTAGATTACAAGGGTTGATATATTATGTAACATACCCCTTCATTGAGTTTATCAAACAGATATTCCGAACCTAAATCAAACGTCCTCTCAAAGAAAAACGTTGCTCCCACACATGCCAAGGCAAATGTGGAGGTTCTTTTGAAAATTGAATTATAAATCGTACCCGAAAGAGACATTTTTCCGATGTATTTCCACAATTTCTTTCGTTCGTACGATGCAGTCTGCTGTCAACTGTCAATTTGATCGCCAACGTGACGGCGAAAAATAACCAAATCTGCAACATAACCTGTACAATCCTAGCTAAATCGATCTCGAATTCGAGCGATTGAATAAAAAAAATGGTGTTTTCAGACGGTGCAAAACAGCGTCTAGCGCTTGTAATTGAAGTTACAAAGACGGTTTTTCATTACAGCTTTATCCCGACGGTTTTGTATTTGGGTAAATACACGCTGTGTTAATGGTTTAGGTTATGTGAACATTTTTCTTTTTTCAGGTTTCCGCAAAGGGGCTGATCCAGGAATGCCAGAAATCACATTGGCGAAGTAAGTTTGTTATAATTTATTGCATTAAAATACTTGAAACATGTTTTTAGCTTGTTATGGTAACGGGCATTGGTCTATAGTGGAGCCAGGTTTAGAAACGCTTTTTTTCTATAACTTTCTTTAAATGTACTATATTAATTTAATAAATAAATAAGTTTTGTTAAATTTTATGATTGTTCTAGTAATTTATACCTATAATTTTGGGGTTTCCGTTTTCTGAGGAAATACTTCAGGAAGATTATCACAGCTACAACGACAATAACTATTCCTAAACCAAGCCTACAAAATTTCTTTTAGATATTTATTTAAGGAAATTTGTATTCACTACCAGAAGTACCACAAATCCAGAAGTTTATCGCAACATTTGTTGTCCCCACAACAGTATTGTTCTGTTTCACATGTTCCAAATTCGCAGTAATAAGATACTGCCTAAAAAGAAATAAAATTAGTTGCAATAATTGCACAAATAGTTGTTTAAAAATGGGATGAAAGTCGTACATACCTTGGCAGCAGTTGCATTTTTAGTAAATACCGCAGTTAAAACAAAAACAAAAAAATGGTTGAACTTGGACATGAATTACTAGAGTAAAATATTCCACAATTAGTAAACTAATATTTGTACTTTTTCGTCGAATTGACAGGTAAATATAACCTAAATAAATAGTTTAAAACGAACATCAGATGTCACCGCTGTACCTCACCAGAATACAGATTTCTGTAAAGTGTTCTAAATATAAATTAAAGACAAATATTTTTTATTTTAGCAGAAAACAATAAAACATTGTGAAATTAATATTTTATGATTCCGAATACTATTTTTCGCGTTACAAAATCATTTATTTACAATCAATCATAAATCCCGACGTCCATGACGTCATACGTCTTTGACATTTCACGCTTCTTCCGAAGACTTTTCTAGGTTAGGTCGTATTTTTCGCTTCACATTTCCAAAAAAATGGCAAGGTACATTGCCCAATTAATAATAGCAGGCAGTCAAGTAATCGGCCGAGCCTTCGCACGAGCTGTTAAACAAGAATACGAAGCTTCGCAACAGGCCGCTCAGAGGTTAGGTCAAGGCAAAACTCGCAGTGAACGTATCGCTAATAATAAAGTGGGACTGTCGCTTGAAGAAGCCAAGCAGATATTAAACGTATCAAATTTAAATAAAGACGAAGTCACTAAGAGATACGAAAGTCTATTTAAAGCAAACGAAAAGTCCAGTGGGGGTTCATTCTACTTGCAGTCAAAAGTAGTAAGAGCTAAAGAACGGATCGATATGGAATTGGCGGGTGAAAACGCTGCAGAAAGCCCCGGGAAGAGCGCGGAGGAAAGTAGTAAAACTTGAAGTCATTTATTGTTAGGATGTTATTAATAAATTGGAAATATTTTAACTAGAAATTTACCTTTTATTTACACTATAGAACACACTTATTGTTTGACAATCGAGGTGGCATCTTGCACTACGGGCAACTTGTGTGTACCATCACAGAACGGTCTGTTGTTAGTTTGTTTACAATTACACAGCCAGTAGTCTTTGCTTTCGTCAACCATGAAGGCTATAGGTCTGAAAGTATTCAAATTATTTGGAATATTGAGTACTTTGTTGAATCTACTTCAGCTTTATTTTCAACTGTTGATTTTTGTGAGTGCCATCACAAAATGGTTGATTGTGACTATGCCCGCACAAACACCACGAGTATCGTTTACCTAAACCCATTTACTACAATAATTGCAAATTTATATTTTGAAACTACCTGCTTCAAGTGGTACCCGAAAAGGTTTCTTATCATAAACAACCCCATTTTCCGTCTGTCTATGAGCAGACGTAACTTCTTTTATTACATTTGTCGGAATTTTATTCGATGTTGAGCTAAACAGAATCTAAAACAGCAGAATAAAACAAATAACCTCAAAAAATATATATTGACAAACTTGACAATTCCTCATTGGCTTAAATCCAGCTTTGTTAATTTTTGTAAACGTAAGTAACATGTTTGTTTTTCGGTGTTTGTTTACACAAATTAATTTATAATAATAACTTATTACCTCCAGAAACGTCAACCGTCAAATAAAGTTGTCAATTGTCATTTATTATTTTTCCATAGTCTAGTTGACACTGGCTAAAGTACGACCAACGGTAACTCTACAATACGCAACCGCCCGTCATTTTCGCAACCTCGTTCCCCGGCGACCACGTGACGTGTATAAGACGTGAAAATGACAGCCCGTTCAATTCTGCAAATTTTCGACCAGTACGAAAAAACGCGCCTGAATTTTGTGAAAACTGTGGCTGAATTGGCATTAAGACCCACCAATATACCCACTCTCCATGAGGCGAAAGTTTTAGGTATTGTTTTAATTATATCTTCACATATTACAACTCGAGTTGCAGAACTTTTGAAACCTCTTCTGAGAGATGTTTGCAAGCAAATTCAACAGTGTGCCACCATAGCCTTAGGTCGGATAGTACAACATGATATCGGAATAGCCAAACAGTTTGCACAAACTGACATACTCAAACTTTTCTTATTAAACCTACCTAAAGAGAATGTTAGTTTCGACGTAAAGCTGACCATTGTTAACTTAGCTTTTGCAGAAACACCAAAAGAGTTCCATTCTTTTCGTGCTAAGGTCGGTGTGTAAGCATGATGCAGAATTGGCAGATTTTGTAGTAAAGAGTGGTGCGCTTCCTTCTATTATAAGTTGTTTGGAGGATTTTGAACCTTCGGTGCAAGAGTCGGCAGCTTGGGTCATAGGGTATATAGCACGACATAATGCGGGTTTAGCCCAGAAGTGCGTGGAGGCTGGTTGCGTTCCTTTGCTTATAATCTGTCTACAGAGTCCATATTTAACTCTGAAGCAAATCGCGGCAAGCGCTTTGTGCGACATAGCTAAACATTCAATAGATTTGGCGCAAAATATTGTAGACGCTGGTGCTATACCATATTTGGCGAAAAACTTAGGAAATTTGGACGAAAAATTGAAACGACAAGTTCTGGCTGCTCTTAGTATTTCTGTATTCAATACTTCAGAGTCGTTTTTAAAAACTAGTACTTCTAGGTGCTTGTGCTAAACACTCCTCTGAACTAGCTGAAGTGGTAGTTGAAGCCGAAGTCTTTCCTTCCGTCTTTATGCATATGGCGCATACGTGTCCACATGTTCGTAAAAACGCGGCTGCTCTCACTCGAGACGTCGTTAAACACACATTAGAACTCACACAACTGATTGTCAACACAGGTGGAATTGGGGCTTTAATGGAAGTCGTAAATGAAGACACGAGTGAAGCACGAATACCGTGTATTACCGCTTTGGGGTACATAGCAGGTAATTTGAAACAGTAATACCAACTTAAAGTCATAGCAATTTTGGTGGCGCTTTAGGACATTCGGAACAACTCGCCATGTCGGTTATTGGTTGCAAAGCCATTACCGTTCTTGGTACGATTCTCAACGAAATTAAAAACGAGAATGTTTTATCAGTGACCGCTTGGACTCTGGGACAAATAGGAAAACATAGTCCCGAGCATTCTAAAGCTATAGCTTCTGCTAACTTGTTCCCTAGGTTAATACAACTTTACTCGACTGACGATTCTTCCGAAGATTTGAAATTTAAGTGTAAATTGGCACTAAAATTGTGTCTGCAGAAGTGTTTGCTTGTTTCTGCGTTAGAACCGTTGTTGTATGACGCGCCACCTAATATACTCAAGTACGTGCTGGGGCAGTATAGCAAGGTGAGTTTTTCAGTAAGCTTGTGTGGATATTTTTAAAGGCAAAAAATTCAAATTTGGCGTTGAACTGAAAATGGAACCCTGCGTTATTAATTTAACTGATGATAATAATTCTCAAGGTCGTTTCTTTCAAAATGGATTAACGTTTAAAATTAGTTTGAATTCCAGAAATGATATAACGAATTATTGTGAAAATGAGAAGTTGTGAAGTATGGATAATATCTATAATAACTTAAGTAAAAATATCCAAAACTTTTAGATATATGGTTAACTTAAAATAATTTGAACCTGAATAAGTGAATTTTCACCGCACGTTTTACGGGATCATTTTCCGCTATTGTTGTTAAATTGTATTAGAACTCTGAACACTTAAACAACTTAACATGAACTGGTGCTAGTACTTTTTAAAATAAGACTGACTTTGGCAAATGATATACCCTTTAAGAAAACAGAGAGCGGGTGGATGGGGATAGTATTTATAAAGATAAGACTGATTTTTTCAAATGATACACCCTTTAAGAACATATAGGGCGGGTGGGCGGGGCTTGTATTTACTAAGATAAGACTGCTTCTGGCAAATGATATATCTTCTTATAAGAAAATAGAAGGGGAGTGGGTGGGGCTAGTAGTGCTAGTACGTACAACTTAAAACACTTTTACACTTTCGAACTTGACTTTATGAAGTAGTTCGTGTTAGGTTTTCGAAGAGCAAGAGAACTCGAAAAGAAAGTTGTAGGAGGGCTTGACGTATTTAACAGATCAAAGCTCTTCCTAGAAAAGCAAGGTGTAAATTGGTGTTTTAATTATTTTGAAACCTACCTACGTGCAATAAAATTTGTTCTTTGATGGTTTACGCAGAAAAATAGATTTGGGTTATTGAATTGTCGGGGTTTTGCTTACAGAATTCCTCCAACCCTTTTATCCAAACTCAACTTGATCCCTCGATTGAGTTAACTATCAATTTATCAATTCCTACAGGGTCTTTTATAAGCATGTAGTAGGTAATAGTTTTACAACTTCCTTCTTCATAACCAATAAAATGAGCGATTAAAACGGAATAAATAGTGTGTGGGTGGGCGGGGCCACTTCTGACTTTGTTTTAAATCTTGGACTCTACCGTTTTTCAAAATAGAATCTAATTCCCATTTAACAGTAAACAAAATAAGTCAGTGAAATGGAGGAGAAAAGACATGAAAGGGGGCTAGGTTTAGTTTTTTCTACACCATTTGTTCATTCTAGTGACTACTCCTGATATTGTTCAGTCTTATCTTAGCAAATAACAGCCCCGCCCACCCGCCCTCTATTTTCATGGAGGCTATATCATTGGCCAAAATCGGTCATATCAAGCTCTCTATTTTCTTACGGGCTATATCATTTGCCAAAATCAGCCTTATCTTTACAAGTACTAGCCCCACCCACCCGCCCTTTATTTTCCTAGAGGGCATATCATTTGCCAAAACCAGGCTTATCTTATCAAGTACTACATAAAAAATTGGTCTAAAGAGTTTAGACAGTACTTCCCTCGCTGTCAGAAACGTGACGACTTCATGCCTATTATGTTTTTTTCGCAGTAGATTTCAAAGCATTCGGTTTTGTAGTTCCTGAGTAAATCAATAAAATAAATTTACGCATTCATTAATTTTTTTGAATCACCCTGTATATGCAAATCCAAAAAATATGAATGGAGTGATAGATCACAAGTACAGACTCATCATATTTTGTACAGTTTAGATAGGATTTATTCGGCAAATTTTCGAGCTGGTCATAAATTTTTTGGAGGGGATAAGCAAATATATTTTGACTAAACATTTATTATGCTTTTTATAACCTTAAAACATCTGCGAGATTTCAAAGCATTCGGTTTTGTAGTTCCTGATTAATTCAATAAAATAAATTCCCACATTCATTAATTTTTTTGAATCACCCTGTATATACAAATACAAAAAATATGAATGGAGTGATAGATCACAAGTACAGACTCATCATATTTTGTACATTTTAGATAGGATTTATTCGGCAAACTTTTGAGCTGACGTCATCAAGTTTTTGGAGGGGATAACCAAATATATTTTGACTAAAGATTTATGATGCTCTTTATAGCCTTAAAACATCTGCAACATTTCAAAGCATTCGGGTTAGCAGATTCAAAATTAAATTTCAAAATGTTGTTTTAGAATTTTGATTTTTTTTTCCAAAAATCTGGACGTTTTGGGTGAATACGTAAAAGTAGAGAGTCGGCCGATGGACTCGATTACAATACTTCCTTTGCTTACGCTCGGGAAGTAAAAATTGAAGAATTAAAAATCGAAAAATAATAAAGCCGAAAAACTGTGACATTTGAAACTATAATTGAAAAAGTTTTAAAATCCTATAATTGAAAAATGGAAAGACTCTAAAATAATTATTGAAAACACGAAAAATTAAAAAAATTAAAAGTTGAGAAACCGAAAAACTGAAAATCGAAAATTTGCAAAACGAAAAATCGAAAAAGTTCACATTGAAAAAGAGAAAAATTATAAAATCATAACATTGAAAAACCGAAGAATTGAAAAAATAAAGAAAATAAAACGAAAAATTGCAAATGGAAAAACTGAAGAAAAGAAAAATTGAAAAATTCGGAAGTAGAAAATGTAAAAACTGAAAAATTTAAACTTGAAATCTCGAAAAACTACATGCATGGAAGAGGGCCCATCCACCCCTATTCTGATATATTCTGACTTTGATATTAAATCTACCGTTTTTCAAAATAGAATTCAATTCATGTTTCTTGTGAAGATAACATTTAATACTTCCGGTACTATAAAGTACTTGCTAAGGGAAGACTGATTTTGGCAAATGATATACCCTTTAAGAAAATAAAGGGCGGGTGGGCGGGGCTTCACAAACATTTGACCAAAGTTGTTGATGCAATAGTCAAAGTTTTACACATTGCAGATTAAAAAATCTTTAATAATCCGATATTATACTACATCATTACATCGTTGAGGCCCTTTTATGAAATTACAAGTAAAATTACAAATCTGAACACACATTTACACAATACCAACAAGAAGTGGCCCACCAAAACAACCTTTTAAAAATGTACCTGCCCTGCATTACCAGCCTAACAGGGAGGCTTTTCCTAAATCCTAAAATATGGGTGATTGGCTATGATATGGAAATGATTTTAATTTTTTTTTTAATGCGTTTCATAGTACTTTGGATATCTTTTGTTTAACAAAACTATAAATTATTGAAAATTACGAATACGGCTTCTATTTAATCGTTGTTTCACCGAATACTACATATCGCAGGATTGCGTTTTTGACTTCCCAAGCGTAATTAAGGAAATATAGTGGGGTCCAACCGACGAATGACTATTTTCTGCCTTCCGTCCAGATATTTATGTTATACACATAATTTCCGAAACTACCTCACTAATTATTGTTGTTAGATTGTATGTATGTTAGGAATATCATATTTTATATAGACGTCAAAAACTGTAAAAATTATTATTAATATTTTTCAATTTATCCAATTATCCCCTCCCAAAATGTTGATGGCGTCATTTCAAAATTTTGCTGAATAAATCTCATTCAAAATGTGCAAAATATATATGTATTATGACTTTGTACATGTTGGATATCATTGCATTCATAGTTTTTAGAATTACTAAGACAGGTGACTCAAAAAAATTAATTAATGAGGCAGTTTATTTTATTGGTTAAATCAAGTTCAAGTTCAAGTTCCATTTTTCTGAAAATTTTCATATGCAATACTGTTATTATTAATAATATATTGCACCTATTCAAATTGTCTTGCTAAAATGTTAATGACTTCTTCATCACAAAAAAAAATCGCAAAATTTAATTTTATCTATAATTTTTGGAAGAAGTTATATTTCTTCGACTGTACTTCAATTTTTTTAAGTGCAAGAGAAAAATAATCAATTATCGCACGAATTTAATTGATTCGTACTTCTTGGCGATGCAAACGAATAGGAAAGATTTTTGTACGAGTTATAGTGACTTTTTTCCGCAACCATCGTTTTGTTTACCTACGTTTTATTTACTAATAAAAGGCAAGCATATGATGAAAGCAATATTTAATGGCCCTCGTAAATACGTATCTGTATAACGAGTATCGAGGGGAGTAATATATACTTATTTATATGGATCTTTAAGGTATCAAGAGAAGGCGAATGTTACGAATATTAAATACGGTAAAAATGAAAATCAGGCATATTTCCTGCGCATCCCTCAAAATGAATCAACGTTTAAGATTAGTTTAAATGGCGTATTTAAACTATATATTTTAAATTTTGAGAGAAAAGTTTTGAGACGAGATTAATATTAACTTAAGTAAAAAAATCCAAAACTTTTGATACATCATGACTTAAATTAAGTTGAACCTGAATAAGCGAATTGCCACCACGTGTTTTTTATATGAACATTTTACATGATCATTGTAAAATTGTACGACAACCATGACCTGTGAATTTACAAACAATAAAAGCAAAAACACGTCGTGCTGACGAAATAATCGAAGTTTTACATATTTCAGGTTAGATAATCATTAATAATCTGTGCCATCGAACGTGATTCATTTTTGTTTAAACAATTGCCGTTTTATGAAATTACAAACTAAATTATATACAAGTTAAGGAGGATGGGATATGCATTCTTATCACTGTTTCATCCCCCTTCCACTTAGCAATGGAGTAATTTAAATGCAATCGGCACACAGGCGGACCAACAAACTAATAGACTTCTAGCTTCAACTTGAAGAAATAATTAACTTCGAAAAATGCAAAGAATTCAAAATATATCGACTGGTGGCTACTAAAATTAATCGCCAAATGATTTGAACTTGCTTAGAACACCATAATTAACCGACCAATCTGATTAATGCGTTATTCAGATTGAGATATCTACCTACCCATGATATTATAAAAGGTGGCAAGTCGAAATATTAATCAAGCCGGGAAAACCAGCAAACGAGGTTTTGCTCTGCAGGAGAGCAAT